AAAAAAAAGAACTTAATACCACCTAGACATAAGACAATAACTGTAATGTATTACAAACGTCATGAACTGATGCACTCACACAACAATACAATGAGACACAACAATACAACATACCACACTCAAAATATAACATCTGACACATATTCATCATCGGAATCTGTTTCCATACAAGAATTTGGATATATTCAAGACAATATTTTTCCAGATGACTTAATAATATCGAGTTTCGATTCTAGTGGAAATTCACTAGATTTCTTTGTTGAAATGTTTTGTGGATTTTGCAAATATAGCAAAAGGGTTACGAATCCAACTTGTCTTCTTTCTTGAATTCGTACTTCTAAAGCATTTAATAATTTGGAACTAATTTCAGTCTTTAAATTTTTTAGTTCATATAACAGAAATTTTTACATATTAATTTTAATATCTAAAACCGGTTTTTTAAATTTTAAAAACTGGTTTTCGAATTTTAAAATTTTATCCAAAAAACCGACAAATCCTATCAGGCTCATAATATTGGCAGTTTGACTAACAAGTATTAATCCTTTTCTGCATCACAACATTAAAAATATATGCGATAATATGCGGTATTTTTCAGGTTTGGGCAAATTGAATGATTGTGGTGATATTTTCAGGTTCAAGACATTGGAAATCTAAATGACACTGGTACCTTTACCATTATTGTCAACGATATCAACAATAACCTACCAGTATTTGTGCGACCTGACAACACAGCGGATATTAGGCTAAATATTGCGGTAAGTCCAGTTCTTAAATCTTGCAGTACGCACAAATTGAATGATTGTAGAGCGCCGGTTCGGATTGAAATGAAAGCAGTCTTTTAAATACGTCTTCACAAGTCTCTGATTTTGTTTTACAAATTTAAACAAAATTGACTTCTTGCGGACAGATGATTAGGGTGACAGACAAGCAGGGCCTTTGCTTATTATTATATATTATTATTAAGTGTTCTGTCTTACGACAGGTCCATTGCTCTGCCCAAAAAGAGCTCTCCAGTTGTCCCTATTCTCGGCTTCTCGCTTTAATTCATGGAACGTCATCTTCCTTGTTTAAGGTCGTCGGTTAGCTGTATCAATCTTCTTCCCAGTCCTCGCTTTCCTTCAACCTGGCCTTCGATGACATCACTCAGTAACCCATTCCTTCTCATAATATGTCCCAGCCAGTTAGCTTTCCTTCGTGTAATCGCCTGCAGAATGCTTCTTTGCTCGTTGACTCTCCTCAATACTTCTTCGTTGGTCACTCGATCCGTCCACCTGATCTTCTCTATTCTTCTCCAACACCACATTTCAAAACTCTCCAGGTATTTCTGTTCCTCTTAAACCATATTAAGATAAATTGTTATTATCTGTAAACTTACAATCGTAGGAATACCCAACTAAAAATGCAGGCATTGCTATTTGAAGTTGCGTCGTAATTGGCTTCTGGGAAGGGCAAGTAATCAGGAGGAAATAGAACAGAATAGAACACGCCAGCTTAAAAATAAATAAAAATAATAATAAGAAATTTGTAGGAAACTTTATAACTGCATAATTTCAAACTTAACTTGAAATAGTTCTTAAGCGCTTGAAATAAGTTCGGCTACAGTTCATAACCGCAGACGCCAACAAGCCATCTGCTTGGTCTCAAGCTTCGGAAACTGGGAAGATGAAGGATACAGTACAATCACGTTGGGAGTTCGACAGGGTCTTTCTGCAACCCTGGATAACAGAGTCATTTGTAGGCAAAATATGTAACCTATAAACATCGACGAACAAGATAAAAGGAATAATATTTTTAACGTAGATCAGTAATAAAACGTGAGCTCTCAGGCTCGTGCATTCATTCATTTCACTTGTTATTACAATTAATTATTTCCTTGGTTAGTATTCTGTCGATTTGCAAATCGCAGTATTGACTGTGGATGGGTACAAGTGTTAGGGACGTCCTCGTGATTCACTCGCTGGACGCGACAAGTCCTTTCTTCCAGCTTCGGGATTGTCCGGTTAATTTCGGGAACCCTGGCTGAAATTGCTGGAACATCATGCGAGGACATGGCAGGCCGGCTGTTCAATATTAGGTTACAAGTAGCCTGTATTACTAGAAAAGAAGCTATTGCACAGTCCACTTTATCTAGAAAATGAAAAACGTAAAAAAATACCCAATATCAGTTCCAGCCACACAGACAGACAAATTATGAGGGTAAATTATGTCCAGGTCCTGTCCAATGCCTGATTTTTTATTGGCTGTGTCGAAACTTTAATTTCGGTTATTGGATTGTTGGTTGATTAGACTCACAGCTAATTATGATAATTAGTAAATTATTTAATTGTATACTTCCACGCGGTCTGATGCATGGATCAGGGCATAGATGTTTGACCGCGTCTGGCCTTGTAATCCTGGGGTCTCGTTCGATTCCCGGCGATGCCCGAATTTATAACTTGTGTTGGGCAAGGCCGTGGTCTAGGCAACACGGAGTTTTCCTCCGTGGCATCCCAACAATTACTCCATTCACACACAGAAGAAGGCAAGGGCAAACCACTTCTGGATCATCTGCCAAGAACGTATATGAACAGATCCCAGTCCGAGAAAAGGATGGAAGAAGGATCCTGTTCATATGGACCTGTCCTCAGACAGAACACTAAAAATAAAAATAATTTAGCGTTTTACAATTTTAACTTTTCGTGCAGAATAGTGAAACTTCGAGATGCTCAAAAAAGATCAAACATAAGCCTCCAAGAGAGGTAAAAACGCAGACCCCGCAAATGCGTGACAAATGGGAATGTTGAAAAATATAATTGTGTACTTAGTTCCAATGATGAAAAATATAATTGTGTACTTAGTTCCATGTTTTACTATTTTATACAATCATTATGTCTTAAAGTTACGTTAATACTGATGCTGGATATGCAACTAACATTCTGCCACGTGTTGCAAACTGCACAGGGTAACATTCCGGACACAGCCTTGACCGATGTTAATGGACGGAAGATCATCTTCGAGGCAATCGACGACTTGGACAACGGACTTAACGGAACAATCGGAATGTCTTACAGCCTCAAGGGTGATGGTAAGTTTGAATCTGAGAGAGGTTTCACGTGTGCTCCCGCAAATAGCTCTTTGATTCTGCCTGAAAAATTTAAGCTTTATAGATTTTAATTCATTTACTTTTGGGTTTATCAATTTCGTTATCTTAACTAAGGAACAAACTCCATGGAGCAGAGTCCTTCTGGAGTAGCTACTAGTAGCTCGGACAATCAATAAATTTCCGTCCTTTAACAATCACCCTCGCCCTATTATCACGAAATCATTTTAAATGTCCAAATAATGAACTCGATTCATATTCTAGTCAGCATTTTGTTACATTTTCTTATCAGTGTTTATCGCCGAACGTTTATCACACACCTGAACATCCAGGTCATATTTCCGAGTACGACAAAGAAAAATCATACCTAAAGCCAAAAACGTTGTGTTTGCAGTATCATCTACAACAGGTAGTAAGAGATATATGTCAGGATTTTATCCAGTCCTTCTTTAAGTGATTATTCTTCGTTATTTTCCAGAAGAATACATGAAAGCCTTTTGCTGAATCACCTCTTGAGCCTAACTAATTCTCTCCATATGAAAAAGAAATCCTCTCTCAAATAAATATCCATCTTGCTTAAAAACTGACATTGAGTTGTATTATTATCAAAATGAAAAATATTTTTATGGGATATTTTGTAGGTCCAAATTACACGAGAAGTCGTGGGATATTTTGGTAACTTGGGAAAAATACCATTCCTCTTTATGAATATTCTCTTAAAACTGTGGATACTATTAATTAATCCTTTTAATTATCTGACCTGACGTTACGTCCGATACAACAGGATTTCGAGGGTGAGCTCCTCAAAGAAGACACAGATTTGAGTATTAAGAACTGCTGTTGTATGAAGTATAAATTATTTGTCTTCAATCAGTGAATTTTCAATACACAAAGAAATAATGTTCAGCAGAATTTTGAACCAGGGCACTTTGTTCGTGGTTGTGACTTCTGTTACTTTAGGTTATATGGTTTTGTAATATTATGAGTTGTTTTATTTTGAGTGTGGTGTGTTGTTTTGTTCTGTCTCATTGTTCTGTTGTGTATTATTGTTTTGTTGTGTCGCATTGTTCTGTTGTTTCTTATTGTTGTTGTTGTCTTATGTTTTTTGTGTCTTATTGTTTTGTTCTGACTCATTGTTCTGTTGTGTGTTATTGTTTTGTTCTGTCTCATTGTTTTGTTGTGTCTTATTGTTTTTGTTGTGTCTTATGTCTTTTTGTCTTCTGTTTTGTTGTGTCGCATTGTTCTGTTGTTTCTTATTGTTTTTGTTGTCTTATGTTTTTTGTGTCTTATTGTTTTGTTCTGTCTCATTGTTCTGTTGTGTGTTATTGTTTTGTTCTGTCTCATTGTTCTGTTGTGTGTTATTGTTTTGTTCTGTCTCATTGTTCTGTTGTGTGTTATTGTTTTGTTCTGTCTCATTGTTCTGTTGTGTGTTATTGTTTTGTTCTGTCTCATTGTTCTGTTGTGTGTTATTGTTTTGTTCTGTCTCATTGTTCTGTTGTGTGTTATTGTTTTGTTCTGTCTCATTGTTCTGTTGTGTGTTATTGTTTTGTTCTGTCTCATTGTTCTGTTGTGTGTTATTGTTTTGTTCTGTCTCATTGTTCTGTTGTGTCTTATTGTAGGACCACTGCCACCGAGTAAAAACCCATTTGCAGTCAAATAAATAATAATAATAACCTTCTTTCCAAAACAGACAACTCCGGCCTTGGTCCGGTTCTTGTATCACGCCAAGTTTGCGATCCAAAGAAATCAAAATAATTCTTACCGCGATTTGAACCCAGGGAAGATTATTGAGGTTACTGCCTCTGTCCCTGCAATATCCTTGTTAGATAAATTTTGACCGTGTTATGTGCAGTTTTGGGCAGGGGACTAAGACCAGTAATTAAATGCGCACAACTTAGTACTATCGCAAACTGCTGCGGTGTCCGTTCTGGTTGTGACTTCGTGGTCACATTCGTCGATCTACTTGATATCAGTTGTCAATTTTTAGCATTCGTACGTTTAAAATCTCATAAACCGTTTCAGTTTCAAAATATAATTGCTAACAAAATTAAAAGGGAATTATAGTTTTGAAAGCCATGTATTACAAATGCCACAGACTTCGCGTGGCGACGTAGTTCAAAAATTCATTACAATAGAAACTCAAATCTAAAACTTCTTGACGATGGTGAAGAGTCAATTGAATAAAAATTTCCTTGGATATTATCCATCGTCTAGTAAATATAAAACGTAAAAACCGACGTTTCGGAGATGGGATTCAATCTCCGTCTTCGGGTTCCTACACAGTTGGGCCCACTAGATAGAGCTAATCCCTATCTCCGGACATAGAGATTAGGGACACAGTTTGATTGGGTGCATGTTCCTGGCTTCTTTGCAGATACGGCGATGGAGTACCTCACCTTGTCTCATAACGAAATTTGGCTGAAACAAGAGTTTACTGAGGATATGTCAAACAGGTTCAAGGTAAGAAGTTTCAAAATACATCTCTTTACTAAATAAGGCTGACATCTTATTGATTCCATCTCCTGCGAATTAATTATAGCTTATCAAAATACAACGAAACAAAACTTCACATAACGTAAGAACTGTTCCAGATTACATGCGTGCAATCAATCTGACATATGCACAAATATCTCTATATCTATAATGCATGGAAATAGATTTTCCGAACGATATCGTGGGATATTAAAGAAATTTAAATTTGAGACTAAAACATGTAAGTTACCTTTCTGAGAACACGAGTAAGTGTTCAGTATTAAAAAACTGCTTCGTAAAGTACATAGCTGATTTTGACATTTGCCCAGCAGACACACAGACTGAAATTTTGTACTTTCAGAATCATTTTACATTACAAACAGAGACAAAGGAAGTAATTAGTGTTCCAATCATTAAAACATTTATCGTCTTTCTGAAAATTTCATCATAACAGCGATTTTCCAATCTCGTGTTTTTGGACGACTTTCAAGAAACATTTCCAAACAGATATTTTTACTAAGGAATACAATAAAACGAACTTTTAGCCGAGATTCACTGGCTATCTAACAAATCTAATGCTAATACGAAAGTGTAGACAAATATTGAACATAATAGTAATGTTGTGTATGAATTAAAAATATGTGGTAACTGCCAAAACAAGTATCGGTTTGCTATTTGCTTGAAAGTTGCACATGAAAGTTAAACAGTTCATTAAAATTAATCTGTCTTGATCTTACAGATTGTGGTAACTGCATGTGACGGCGAGAGCAAAGATTTTCAACAGTGCGCAGACAAAGAGACCTTCGTAAGAATGAAAGTAAACATTCAATACGAACCTACATTCGCTGAACCCGAATGGGAAACAAGTTTTACAGGTAAGAGGGGCATATATGACTACGAAATAAAAATCTAAGGCGTTTATATCTATATTTTTCAATAATCTTCACTAAAAACAATTAGTTTAGGTTTTCCGACTGCCCACAGTTGTTTAATGGGACAGCTAATCTTTTTGTAACCAGCATAAAATATCTGAATAGCCGATTTGAGAAATATATTTTTTTCACAAGTGCAAAATTTGAGCAAATTACGGAGAACTATTTGCAACTAATTCAGCACAAACTAGAAATTTCTAGACGATATGGCGAAGAGTTTAAAAATCCTGCGTGACATATACTCGTACTAGAAACACTGAAATTGACAACGCGAAAACATGTCCAAAATTTAGGATGAACGCGTTGGACAAGCGTTAATTGTAAAGTAAATATATTTTATATGATTTGGATTGTTATTTTTCTTGTCTGTGACAAACATTTGTGCGATAGGTGTGTGTTAATACGTCGGCCTCATTATAAAAACAATAATAATAATATATATTAGAAAATAAATGTAATATTATCCGATCAAAGCAACGAAATCTTAAAAAAAAAATGGAAAACAGGTTCATGTGAGAAGGATTTTTTCGTGTTATAAAGTGGTCACCAGGACTTGAAAGCAAAAATATCATTAGAGGTCAATTTTTCCGATTAAAAAATTTCCTTCCGCACTTCAGCTGACAGTGAGAAACTTTGGCTTCCACGAGTTGAAGTCCTGAATATTGAAAATGTACACTGCAAGTTGTCGAATGTGAAACATTTCCTCAATTGGTATAGAAGGAAAAGTTAAGCTGCATTTAATTATCAATCAAATATTTATTCTGGTCTTTCAACGGGGTTTTCTATTAGCCAATGTTCGGGCAATCGTTCGCCTGCCTCCCGCGCTCCTTTCTTCGTGAAACTGTGCACGTGTAAAACATTTGCTGCTGACAATACTGTTAAGGAAATTTTATGAAAGAATTTGGATTTCAATATGTTTTTTTTCCCCGTGGATTAAGTCGATGGAGATTAGACGAATGGGATATTTAATACACGCGGTGAAATAATAAATTTATGTAGAATTTCAGATGAGAAGTCACAAGGTAATAACCACGTCATAGTCCTAGGCGTAGGTGAGAGAGTAAAAATGAATTTTACCGGAGTCAGCGGGTTCAGAATATTGTCAGGTAAAGGGCTATTTCTGAATACGAGGTGCGATCGGAAAGTTTCAAGACTGTGTTAATAGAGGGCGAACCGGATGTAGTACGAGCTTCTGCCGCTAGGGGGTGCGGCCTACATTCATAGTGAATCAGTGTGCCAGCCGGCATCATCGAATTAGCATTTGTTTCTTAGTTACGGGCGTTTTGGTAGTGCATTACACCGACCCTCCTGCGATTTCGGAATGGCGCGTGTGCATCAAATTTTGCCAAAGACTCGCCAAAACGGCTACGGAAACCTATGAAATCCTAAAGCAAGCATTTGGGGAGTCCGCAATGGGTCATGCACAAACTTTTGTGTGGCATTCACGTTTTAAAAATGACCGAACCTCTGTCGATGATGACGAGCGTGCTGGACGACCATCTTCGAGCACAACGCCCGAAAATGTTACCAAGATTCGGCAGGCCATTCACGAAGAGCGACGTCGTACCATCAACGACTTGTGCGACATTGTTGGGACCTGTCAGCTGATTCTAAAGGAAGAACTCCACATGCGACGCATCCTGTCTGAGGACCAGAAGCAGAATCGACTTCTCGTTTGTCAGGAGCTCAAAGATCTTGCAAGAACCGACCCCAACTTCCTTTCTAAGCTCCGTGTGACTTCTTCCTCTTCCCAAAGATGAAAATTCAGCTAAAGGAAAGGAGATTTGAGACGATAGAAGAGATTCAGGCAGAATCGCAGATGGTGCTTGACAGGCTGACAAAGAAAGATTTCCAGGGATGCTTCCAGGCTTGGCAGCGGCGATGGGATCGTTGTGTTCACTCCCAGGGGAACATCTTCGAGGGTGATGGATGAATTTAATACCTGAGATAAGTGTACGGGTTTTTATAAGCGCATCTTGAAACTTTCCGATCGCACCTCGTACATCGGCAAAGCTGAGGGATTTCGGCAGCAAATGGACTGTTCCATCGCCGTTGAGGTCCCTTCCTGCTTTTTCAACCTCATACTTTCATTACACTGTTTATTTATTTACTTACTCGCTGATTTTAATCTTTTAACAGAAAACAAAACGGGATTAGGAGAAGAGAAAGGAATTGATATTAAAGTAACAGATCGAAATGATGATGAAGATTGCGAAGAAGGAGACGTTTGTAAGGACAACATTTATTATTTCATTCATGGTAAGCACGTTCGTTACACTCATTCTCTAATAAATAATTACTAATTACTGGAATTTATACCATGACATTTATAATCGTGCATATTAAGGTATTTATTCTGCAACAGAAATAATTAATGAAGGACCACATATTTATTTAATTTAAAATAAAATATTGTTCACAGAACTTCAGTTCAATGAATCTGAAGTCTCGAGAATTACTGTCGACAAACGTTCTCAGATTTTTATACTTTACTGATTTGTTGCAGCAAAATCTACTGTTAAAAAAGCTAATGATTAACAACGCTACTTATTACTTATAAATTAAATTCAAAGCTAATTGGATCCAAGGTTACGTTATAAAATATACAGCGTAGAAATCTTTTTCACTTCTATCCTCGCGGGTTCTTAAATTCACAACAAAATTTATACTAGAAAGTTTCAAATCAAAGTCATTAAGTTATTAAGAGATGAAACATGTGCATACAAACACTGTATCAACTGTGCAGTTCACTTTTCACCCAAAAAGGTTTTTAGATTCAACATGACGCATGACTGTGAATGCATGGATAAATTACAGAGGATCTTGATTTTTAGTATAATAAATAACCGAAATCAATTACCGTTTCCAGAAATAGTTCATTGTGTTTAAATACAAAATTTATGGCAGTAACGAAGAACTTCACACGACCTAAAGCAGTTCTGAATTACGCATGATTTGTTTCAGATGGAAATGAAGACGTATTCCATCTGGAGAAAGAGAGTGGTATCATCTCACTGAAGAAGGAGCTTGATAGGGAAGTTGTGAACGTGTATGTTCTGACAGTTGTCGTCACTAACTTCGAAAATGGACCCCAAACTTTACCCGGAGAAAATAGCAGGCTCAGGATTACAATAAACGTAAGTTCAAATTACCCTTCGTAACACAAATTAACGCGCGAGTCTACCAGATATTAGTTCATGGCTGTTATTTCTCAAATCCTTATTGCACACGTCGCTGTGTGAATGCGTCCGTCTGTACCCCAAAACTTGCTTCTGTGACCTAATTCTGGTAGACAGGCATAAGCGTAGGATTTGACGTTTCAGAGGTCCTTTCTGCCTCCATCATCAGGGCACAATAACCCAGAAGACCAGAAGACAGATATCTTCAGGCAGACGCAATTACGACTTTCACTTTAAGATATGTTGGAACGGACCTGAATAAAACAACGAAGCCCTTAATAATTTTATTCGTTTGAAGAGCTGAGTTCACTTACTTAAGCGTACGTCATTTAAGACACCGAAATTGTTCCGGAATTATTACTTCGCAACACCAAATTTGTCTTGACGTCTAAAAATGTATTTAAGTCGTGGTTAACTTTAGAAGACCAACACTTTTAAATCGACGTAATATCACTGTGCAGATTACATATTCTTACATGGTTGCTTCTGACCACAGTAGAGTCAAGGCGTAGTCGTTCCTGTGGTAACCACAAGGTCACGAATGAGCAGGGCGTAGGAGGAAACCTCCATGCGTTCTGCGAATACTGGCCTGCCACTTTATTCGGACATTCCATCTCGTTAGGCTCCACGAATCGGAACTCCGGGCAGGAAGGACGAATGCTATGACTTCGAGCAACCTTAACCCATGTATAATTACGGTTTACTCTTCAAAACAAAAGTAGAAACGTACAGCTAAATTCGCCCACAAATATTTCTGTTATCTATACCACATTTAATAGAATTTCATTCAGTAGTCTGTACAAAGAAGCAGGTAGTCTTAACGCGAAACCTCGCGAAGGATTTTTGCGTTAACTTATCGCAAAAAATGCATCTTTACAATTTGTGTGCTGAAACAGACTAATTAAGACAACGAAGACAACTTAATATTCAGTAATTTTTGAAAACAATCCTTTTACTTTTATTCTATGCAAGACACAGCCTTACAGATTTCTTATGTCTGTGTTAGGGATATGAAAGCTAAGAAACGTGACACAGGATTTTCCCAATATGTTGTATAAGTTGGACATTCATAAGGCACCTTGGAAGATACAATGACTTAAAACCACCCCCCCCCCAACATCAACCAAGACCTTCAGTCCAACTAAAGCTCCGCGACTGCGAATACATCTGCACAGTCAACTCTACTTAAATAGTAAAGCTGCTTAAGAAGATGTCGTTTAACTGGTGAAATCCGCAACAGAAAATATTTAAACAAATTAGCAGTCATATATGTTTGTTTCGAACACTTAAAGAGAACCCTCCTGATGATGACCAATTTAGGTCGAAACATGTAGTGGATCTTAATAAAAATTGGAACTACAATGAAAAATTGTTGTGTAGACGGACGGCCAACCTAACGATCAGCACATAACAGAATGCACCCCTTAAACAATATTTCTGCCGGTCACAAAATGGTTCTTTCGTGTTCTGTCAAAATGTAAATTAAGATTTGAAAAATAGCCAATGTTTCAAGTTTTTTTGTATGTGTAGAGTCTGTATTTATTAATTGTATACTTTGGTGTCAATTTCCTCTATGTGACGGCAAAATTTAACATAATTAATTACGTAGTATCTCCACAACAGAATGCTAGGATGTAAAATTTACTGAATTATCTGTTTCAGGTGATCGATGAAATTGATACTCCTCCAGCATTCACAAAATCTCTGTATGCAGCAGGTATTAATACCGGAGACAAATCCGGGGACAGCTTGACAACATTCACTGTGAGTATCATTACGTGACTTTTGCCATGGTTCGATCCCCGACGGGGGCAGAGGATTTTTCCTCTAGCCACTGCGTCCAGACCGGCTCTGGGGCCCACCCAGCCTCCTATCCGATGGGTACCGGGGTCCTTTCCCGGGGGTAAGGCCGGCCGGGGCGTGATGCTGACCATTCACCCCCATCTGGTGCTGAGGTCAAGAATGAGTAGGAGCTATACCTCCTCTCCCCCCAAGCGCCTACATGGCGTGTAGCTGGACAGCCTTACATTTACCCATCCCTCAATCGCCGGACGCCATCTTATCCGTACATTTAGTGACGACGAGAAAGGAAAACTGTCATAGAACCGAGGTATTCTACTTCCAAAGTCTCGATTTTCCAAAGTTTGCTAATAGCCAATACAGTCGTCGACAACTGGTCCTGCGACGAGAGCGTAAATCCAGATGCGCCCTGAGATCAACCAATAACTTCTGATTTGTTATTTTCAATCTATCCAAGCTCTTCACACCACGTTTAAACAGGAAATGCGATGAGCGAAGGTTGGCTAAAACCCTCGTTTCGTAAAAGCTCTCTTTTCAGAGCAGTTGCCTCCAATAAATAAAACGTCCGCAAGCATGTAAAGTTCCTTGAAATCAGCCACGGCCACTATATTCCTAATTATTTAAAGCAAAGAGCTATATACATCCTACCTTGCCAGATTAGACCATGTCTGCGAACAAAATACACGGCTGGAAACGGTAGACGGCGCCTTGTAAACAGTCACTTGGGATGTGCTTAAGATTTGGGACCGATGCGCTGACGTGTTCACGTTAGGAAGATCTCACAGGTAACCTTCGCGAAAAGGACTTTGTTCGATGGATGTCAGGGAGTCGAACCCAGACAGGTTGATGTCGCCGTGGCCTCCATGACGAAGGTAGTCGGGCTATGCCCCCTTTAAATTGCATTTTAGGATTTGCCTTACAACCGACGAAGAGAGAACGGAAAACCCCAGGCAGGTTTGCAGAGCAGTCAGAAACTACTTGTTGCACCAACTTGGTTACATTTTTAGGGGCAGCTTCGAATGACTCGCTCGCCGGGCGTCAGTCAACCTCGCATAACCGTCGGTGACTTCCGTCAGACCTTGTTCGGCACAAGAGCCTTCCGACTTGCCAAACCACGGGATTACTCGTCAGCTAACATCGAGTCCAATCTCTCAGTTCGATCCCAAGTAATCTCAAACTAACCTAACTAACCTAACCTAACCTAACCTAACCTAACCTAACCTAAACTAACCTAACCTAACCTAACCTAAACTAACCTAACCTAACCCAACTAACCTAACCCAATCTAACCTAACCTAACCAAACTCAGCGAGTCAAAGGAAAGCCTCGCCATATCTCAGCCGACAACTCGGTAGAAGGCAGCTCAATCCAATCCGACTCGGCTACAGCAAGCGACGTGAGGGAAATGGCAGGCCATTTCTTACACTGAGGACTGAGGGGATGTAAATAATTACGGACGCGAAATCTGTCCCACTACTGCCCATCGAGGGACTTGGTGTGGACAAGATGTCCAGGTCGTGCTCGTTCTTGACCTCGGCACCAGATGGGAGTGGGTGGTCAGCCACCCTTCACCCCCGGGGAAAAGATACCTGGAGGGCGACAGAGGAACGCAGAGGCTACAAGATAAATCCTTTGTCTCCGAGGGGGTTGGAAATCTGGTCTTCAGTTCCTAGCCATACCCTCATAACTGGAGACACAGATGCTCAAAACCTAAATTACTTCTTACAATGTTGGTACTTGCAAAGTATGATAACAGGCATTTGAATTGGTTGTTTATTATTTCTTTGCAGGCAACTGATGGCGATTTCGATGACAAACTGACGTACCGGATCATTGATGGGACCATGGAAGTGACCGACAGCTCTCTTCAGCAGTGGCAGAACCGCGATCCGTTTAGAATTCAGGAGAACACGCTGTTGCTGAATTTTAATGTTCAAGACAGTGCTCTGAAGGGCTTGTTCAAGTTTAACCTTGAAGTCATGGACACAGGTCTGTTTATCCCTCTGAAGGGCAGAGCTCGTTTGTCGTGTTTACGTCTGTATTCATATCCTCTACATACAGGAAAATGACTATCAGAGTTTTTAAAGTTTCTTATAGTCTGCGGGGTAGAACCTTCGAAAAACAAGTATCTATTTTTTTAAAAAAAATATTTAATGTGAAATGCAGCTCACAGTATTTAATAAACACTGAATTAACATTTAATGCTGGGATTCAACACGAAATGTAATCGGTGTATTTGGTGATTTAAAATATATAACCTGTGTACAAATATGAAAATTACGCGATTTACTGTTAAGTACACTAAAACAAATAGGAAAAGTAAAAATTCTAAGTTAAAATTATACGCCTGTGCTTAATATAATATCTTCGCTTCCGGACAAAATTAAATTCGTAATTGTTTATCAGATGTTAGAAACTTAAAACATTTGGCTTAATGTGTGGACTTAATGAAAGCCGATCAGCTGTCCGGAAGATTTGTATGATTTAAATGCTAAATTTCTATCTGTTTCGCAGGAAACAACAGGGACGAAGTTGCTTGTCAAATATATATCATAACAGAAAATAACCACGTGACCATGCGGTTCCAAAACAATGCGACCTACGCCGAATCACGGAAGCTTCAGGTGAGTTATCTGCAATTTGCAAAATTTATTTATAAAGTAGGTTGACGCATCAATAATATTATAATTGATTTTGCATTGTAATTTGAATAACTGTCATATTAATTAATACAAATATTTAGTGCTAATACATCCGGTTATATTTAATAAAGGAAATATCGGCCTAAAGCAGATGCCTATTTTGGGGCTGATACAGCACGACATTTTGAGTTTTTTTTTTAATTTTCCAGTCAATATTTATTTTCATAAGCTCTTCTACTCTTTAAAAATCAGAATATACGTTTAAGGTAATTAAGACTCACAGCAGCTGCGCGGAAGTTGTACTGAAGTTGTATATTCTGAAATACCACAAATTGTTTCTTAATGAAGAAAAATATGTATTTTGATGTAGGCGTGATGATATCTGAACGTATTGAAATCTGAGGTGTTTTAGCATATACATTCGCCGACCTTAATGACTGAATAAGAACCAACACCTAAGTGAATGGACGCGACCCACTTTAAGCCACACGTCTAAGGACACTGCCTATAGTACATCACATTTATGCAAATATCGTACTCCAAGTTCGTTAATATTTTAATATTTTCCGTCAAATAACAATTTTAATAAGATAATAAAATATAAAATATTTAAAATATCATTTCACGTTCCGCATCGAATGATCGATTTACAAATTGGAACGTCTCTTACGACATGTTTCGGTTATATTTAACCGTCCTCAGGTATAAATTAGATGGGTAAAATTTAAAAATTCGAATTACAATCATTTACAATGTTATGCAATTTATTGAAATGTTGTTATCAGATTACTCTTATATATTGGAACGAAGGTATTGTTTTTTTATATCGTGTGGTTCATCTGATGTTCAATATTAGTCTGTAAAGCAATGATTTCAATAAATAAAACATTAATAAATATGGAGTAATATACTACCTTATATCAAAGTTCGTTGTTGCGAAATAATCAGACTCTTCTGGAGAGGTTTATGTTTTAAATCTGTTCATTTATCTTGTGCCTACATTCGTGCTACGTGTCAAACCATCGCGATTTCCTCTGTCTGCAGTAGAAATGGCCTGGCGAGCTTTCTCACCGCTGGTTACTGCAAAAGTTTTTCATACTGTTTTACTCAGACATCAAAGCACAACCTCTCTCTGCCTGCTTTCGGATCTTCGTGTTATCACAGTAGCATCCTGCATACTGCATTCTCAGAAATAATAAAAAACTAGAAATATGCAAATATAATTGAAGCAGCTGCCCGAATTTTTCAGTCCTCCTTGACAAGCTTGTCGTGGCTAATAGGATTAAGACAGAAACAATTCTGAAGTCCTGCCAACTGGACCAATATGAGAGATCAAGTTCATTTGACAATTTCTTAACTCCTTTTATTATGAACGTCCTACCCTGGGCTCGTCCACGTTTCATAAAATAGTTACGCGTTTCTAGTGTCTTCATGCCCTCTTTATCACTTTCTTCTTGTACTGATCTTCTTTACAATTGCTTTGTACGCAAACACAAAGATAACAATTTACAGGCTACGAAAACTCATAATACGAGGTGCGATCGGAAAGTTTCAAGACTGTGTCAATAGCGGGCGAACCGGATGTATTACGAGCTTCTGCCGCTATGGGGTGCGGCCTACATTCATAGTGAATCAGTGTGCCAGCCGGCATCATCGAATTAGCATTTGTTTCTTAGTTACGGGCGTTTTGGTAGTGCATTACACCGACCCTCCTGCGATTTCGGAATGGCGTGTGCATCAAATTTTGCCAAAGACTCGCCAAAACGGCTACGGAAACCTATGAAATCCTAAAGAAAGCATTTGGGGAGTCCGCAATGGGTCGTGCACAAACTTTTGTGTGGCATTCACGTTTTAAAAATGGCCGAACCTCTGTCGATGATGACGAGCGTTCTGGACGACCATCTTCGAGCACAACGCCCGAAAATGTCACGAAGATCGACGTCGTACCATCAACGACTTGTGCGACATTGTTGGGATAGGCTATGGGACCTGTCAGCTGATTCTAAAGGAAGAACTCCACATGCGACGCATCATGACAACGCGCCAGCGCACACCGCCCTCAAAGTTCGGCAGTTTTTGGCCTCAAACACCATGGCCGTCATCCCGCACCCTCCTTATTCGCCGTGTGACTTCTTCCTCTTCCCAAAGATGAAAATTCAGCTAAAGGGAAGGAGATTTGAGACGATAGAAGAGATTCAGGCAGAATCGCAGATGGTGCTTGACAGGCTGACAAAGAAAGATTTCCAGGGATGCTTCCAGGCTTGGCAGCGGCGCTGGGATCGTTGTGTTCACTCCCAGGGGAACTACTTCGAGGGTGATGGATGAATTTAATACCTGAGATAAGTGTACGGGTTTTTATACGCGCAGTCTAGAAACTTTCCGATCGCACCTCGTATATGCTATTTAAAAATTTCTTCCCTACTTATAGAATATAACTAATTGTTCCATAAACTGTCACCTCCCTTTTCTAGATGGCCAACATATTTACAAAAGTGTTTGACAGTCAAAGTAACATCAAGAAGGTGGCTAGATCAATGGACTCAGGTGTACCAATCGACGACAAAGCCGATGTGACCGCGTATTTCGTGGATGAAAATAAACAAGAGCCGATTGACAAAACCGAAATAACTAGGTAAGTGAATGTGTGTGCGTGTTTCGTGATGTACCTAAAACCAGTGCGATGAAGTGTATTTGGAACCTTAAGGAGCCTAGAATTTAATTAAGAAACGCAAACAACCTGAAATCAAACCCCAGGTGTAATACGGCAATGCTGGGCCTCGTACTGAGAGTAACGCCAGTTCACGTCTTCGGGAGATTCATTTATGTTACACAAGCGTATTGAAATTTTTGCCGACAATAATGACAGTGTTTGGTACCGAACCCTGGAGCAACTGTTGAAGACGTTCACGCGAAAGGTTGGATCCAAAGAGTTATTGTAGATTCCAACAGTTGCCACTGCCCACGACAATGAAGTCAACGTAAAACAATGGTGGAAATCAACTCAAAACTGTAGTCAAAATATTTTCCAAACACATTCCTTGCGATTCTACCATTGGCTTCCATGTTTATTGATAGAGCAGATCAATACATGAAGTTGATTTTTTGTTAAATGTTCAATTTTTTGAATTTTAATTGTGTATACGATATCCCTTCAATAAATCTTAAGAGTTATAAACTTTAGTAATTACCAATGATTTCTTTTTGGTTCTTTATCCTTGTCGCCAATCATGCGGTATCATGATGATGAAGAAAAGATGAATGATTCCAGTTGATATAAAAGATTCATGGAAAGGCTCACATCTCAACAAATTATTGGTTTGATTTGTTCGTACGGAAACTCTGGGAAAAGTTTACTGCTTACAACGAAGAACAAAATTCCAAACTTGAATACGAAAGTTTCTGTCAACTTCTGCATGTTTCTCACTTTGTCCTACGTGCGAGGTAATGCCAAACGAAGGCTTCAAACCCAGGACACATCACATTCAGTGCATTTCGCAGGAACAAAGCCACAGTGAACATGGGCCAGAATCACATCAGACGATAAAAGTTACATTGACGAGACACAATCAGTCGTCGCATTAAGCAATATCGAAATACCAGGGACTTCTTCTGTGTCATGTGTTCACGATTCTTTCCCAGTAGTGAAATGTTTTTCATAGACCTGCATGCCCGCGGTTGGATCGTCGTCATTTGTTTACACTGGACAGTTTAACCAACCGGGGAAAAACATTTCGTGTTTGCGTTTATCCAAAGGGATGCCAGACCATCTGAATTCTCTCTTGCTCTTAGAAAAAAAGATCAATAACGAGCTTTGCAGCAAACAGCCTAACCTAACCTAACCTAACCTTACCTAACCTAACCTAACTTAACCCTACCTAACCTAACCTAACATAACCTTACCTAACATAACCTAAACTAACCTAACCTTACCTAACCTACATAACCTAACACAACATAACCTAACCTACAATATAAACCAACATGGTGGATGGATGTTTTAATAATTTCTTTGGTGCTCGTTGTCTTTCGACTGAAAAATAACTCTAGAAGCCACTCACTTCTGCCCCCTCCACCAAAAATCACTTTGGATGATGCGGTGAGTTTTTCATAGACGTTGAACATTCGGGTAGGACGAAAGTGACGTTCCAACAGCAAGTCCTCCTTTCCACTTTTCCCCGATCTTCCCGACACTCAAACGTCAACTGAACAGGTCTGCTGTATAGTTAAGTTTCCATGTCACTTTCCAATATCATTTCACTACATTGCACTTAAATTAGAATCATCCGCCCCGTTCACTTTCCTCTAACAACACGCCAACCTCGTCACTATAATTTTGCTTTATAACGAAACTACTTGTTTTTTTTCCTTCAAGAAAAATCCAGTGAACGCCAAATGTCTCTTCAGTAAAGTTGTCGAAGCAAGATTGATGTTTCAATGCAACACTACATGGATGTCATTCCAAATTAACGTTGTGAACCTTAGTAAATTTTGTTATAAGCATACTTCTAAAATATATAATTTAAAAAAGGCAACTTAATTTCGAGTTTAAATTCATGTAAAGAAGGATTTTATAAAACTGTTCAGCGTGATTCCCCAAACCGACAAACCCCCAGTCCACAGAGCAAAGATCAGACCTCGAACGATCGACACGTTCCACGCAGTAGACACTAGGAATAAATTTACTTTTCTTTTAGGAAACTTACTGACAAACAAACGTACAACGCATTGCGAGACGCACTACTCGAAGAGAAGCTGGTATTGGAATCGATCAGCGACCCAGAGAGTCAAACTACCGCTGACATGGAAGGTGTTCTCCAAACGGTGTTAATTGTGGTTTCGGTGGTCCTCGGGACATTGGTCGTCATCCTCTTCGCGGCCTTCTTCATCAGAACCAGAAGGTAAATCCATTACACGCAATCCTAACAAAACAAGAAACACATCGAAGTTCGATCGGGAAACCAAACCTCACAGTGGTGCATAATTTCGAATTCTAATTTCTTTGAAATGGATTAAAATCCTAAAAATAATTATTTTTTTCATAACAGATTAAATACTTTTTTAAAACTTGGTAAAAATTCCAGCTTTCTAAATGAAATTCCACGACGACATTTAAATTTAAAACAGGAGCCTGGTACAAAAGTTATAACTCTAAATATTTGCATATTTGCGCCATCAGATTTGTTGAGGCAAATTGCACCTGGAAACCGGATTTAATATTTATGACATTTCAAATAATGGCGATGTTTTACAAATTCGTGATAGCCGTCATACCCGAAAACGTGCCTAATTCCATCGTTTAATACGTGGGGATTAGTTGAAATAAAAACTGGAACTTTGGGAAAACGTTCACTTCAAATTCGTTTACCTGTGTAATTAAAATCACAAAATTCGTGAAATTGTTTTACAGTTTACTTTTGCACCCAATTGCTCGGAAAGTAAAGACTTGTATTGCCTTACATTTTTCCGTGCTACAGAATATACAATCGGTAAAGAGTATTTAAGCATCCAGAGGCTAGGCTTTGGCTCCTGACAATATATTCCATGATTTATTCAGTTTTCTAAATTGAGCCCAAATACGTTTAAACTCGTATAAATTCAGGCGCAGAAGATCTACTACAGCGCCAGTGAGTGGGGTGGACAGCTAATTGACTGAATCCGACGTTTCTGTAAAGATCTGTAAACATAAGTAATTTAAAAACACTTCAGAAGGAGGTTTTAAAAGACAGGCTACTTTTCGCTGTAGCTTCCATACTACAAGATCACCTGTTCACATCTCGTTACAGCTTGAACCGTCGCTTGGAAGCCTTGTCCACCACCAAGTTCGGGTCTCAGGACTCGGGCCTCAACAGAATCGGCATGGCGGTGCCGAACACAAACCAGCACGCGGTTGAGGGTTCAAATCCCGTATGGGGCAACGACAATGTCTCCAGCCATAACTTCGACGCCTTAAGGTGAGACAGGTTCGCCTGATATGCGCGGGGTGCGGGGAAGCCCGAAATATTTGCTTGATCAAAATCATGTGGTAAATTAAAACTGCGATGATTTCGGTTTCAAATTAATAATAATTGAAGTGTAAGGACAGATGACATTTTTCTAGGCGTCTATGATCCCAAGAATAATGAAGACGTGTACGGAGAGAATCCTGTGTTCAATTCCTGCTTGTTTTGGTGGACATGATTTCGTTTACTTTGTCAATACAGAGTTAGAATATTGCTAAGGATTTCGTCCTCATTACATTTCAGTAATATTCATCACTGCCTTTCAAACTGAATCAGCAAAAATGGGCCGATAATCTGCTTTGGGTATAAAATAATATCTTAAATTTACGAACAGAAGCTATTCATTAAACTGTATTGAACGTAGAAAGAATAATTTATTTGTAAGGATAGATATCTTGGATTTCAGTAAATTTATTACCAGAAATATTGAAAAATATTTCTTGTGTTTTGAAAACATTTTAGTGTGTTCATAAAATTTAAAATAGTTTATTTCTAGACGCCGTGATCCAGTCATTAATTTAAAGGTGCATGAATGCATTGATTTATAAGTAACTTCGTCTCTAATAAGTCACTTTAAACCTCTGAATTGAAACTATGTCCTGATATTTCCCTCACACGAGACGCACTGGACCTGAACACAGACGTAGGCCTGCATTTCGTTAGTCGGATGATCTCTCGCCAAATACTTGACGTTTCGTTATCGTAACCTTACACAAATTACACAAAATCTAATTTTGCAGAATTTTTAATTCGATCTAAACTCGAAAACAATTATCGTAGGGAAGGAGACTGCACAGTTCTGGAGTTTAATAAGGGCTGTTAACATCGCGCATGACAACTGAATGTAAGGACTGCCCCTTGTCAGCTATCTGCGACAAATTTTTCAACACACGAATTGTTTACTTCTCTATAGGCTTTTTAGTAACTCCGAAACAAATGCATTGGCTTCTGCATATTTAGTGCCATACAAGAAGCGAGGATTAACGTAGATCACGCAGGCGAAGAACGCAGATCTCAAAACTTCCGGGAGTTTCCATCGCCTGCCACCGGAAGTAAACACACCGAGGCGTTAAAACATCAGATATGGATTATTCCAACTCTGGTAGAAAGTATCACAAATATTATTTGTAACCAATTTAATCATAATTCCGTAACATCAAACACGAAGTTTACAGGACGTTGGAAACAAGAAAGCTATCAAACCGCCAGGTAAGTAAACGGCTGCAACGGTAACCAAGAGCAGGGTCTTCAGCTCTCAGAACGTAAGACACCCTCGATCACTTGTGCCGTGCTTTAAGGTACAGGCTAAACTGGCGCGACGTCGATGGGAATTCTCGTAGCCTGCTTTCTAACAAGTCCACCAATCTCAGTCATGAACGCAAGGCAAGGAGTAACTTTAGATTTAAATGCCTCATTATAGCAAATTATTATTATTTAGTGTTCTGTCTGACGACAGGTCCATATGAACAGGATCCTTCCATCCTTTTCTCGGACTGGGACCTGTTCATATACGTTCTTGGCAGATGATCCAGAAGTGGTTTGCCACTGCCTTCTTCTGTGTGTGAATGGAGTAATGGTTGGGAGGCCACGGAGGAAACCTCCGTGGTGCCTAGACCACGGCCTTGCCCAACACAAGTTATAAATCCGGGCACCGCCGGGAAACGAAGTGGGTACCCGGGGTTAAAGCGCCAGGAGCTATGCAACTCCTGGTGACAAGTTTGTTTTGTTTACACCGTCTGAGAAGCGTCGAAGGAAAAACTAAAATGCGATGAGTCAGGAAGAGTGAAATGGTCATGAAGGGACTGACATCTCTATCAAAATATAAAACATTTACGATCGAGGACAAAAAACACGGGGAACACCGTGGCGGTTCTAGCAAATATGTAAGGAAATAAGCCCTATTATTGTTCACTTTCAGCCAAAGCAGTGGGGATTCAGACTTGATTGGCATCGAAGAAAACCCGGAATTCAGTCCGTACGCGAGGAATGGTGTGTCCAACGATGGCTTTACCCCGGACTTGGAGGCCGTGCGACGGGAGAGCGTAAATCCTGTGCTGGCCAACGGATACGGAAGGCGAGTGAGTGTGAATCCACTGTCAGCCGCCGCCATGTCCAGGAGCCAGAGTGTGGTAAATCCCATGGCCGGAGGATTCAAAGCCGAGGACTCAGACTTCGAAAAGGACAGCAGAAGGTCCAGCGACAACGACATGGAGGGAAACACGAACTTCACTTTCTTGCAGAAAATGGATTCCACGCAGATAACAGAACTATAGACGGAGCCTTCACGGAACATCTGAACACGTGGATCAATCCAATCCACACACCAACTACTTTGCATTGCCGCTACGTATTTGACGATAAAGCCAATCCGATCGAGAGTACAATATCGTGGTAATTTGCGAGTGGCAATGGTGAGAACTTCCTTCCCCCTTACCAAAGGGCTAGAAATCGATGTTAATGACTCTGTGTGCTGGCGTACTCTAACATTCACTTTATAGAACTGACTTCAAAATGCAGTATCTAGTTATTAGCATGTCCTCGCCGTTGCTTCAGTAAACAAAGTATCTGAACTTCTGAAGACTGTGCCAGAATCTACAAGGGCGCAGAGGATAAACGAACTCTAATCTGAATTAACACGTATTACATTATAAGTGAAACAATTCATATGACGCCAGGATTAGTCTATAAGTCGTATTAAATTTGGTGCGCGTCGGTACCGGACACGTTCAGACGTGCTCCAATCACGCGCGTTCTCCGCCAAAAGGCATTTCTACAACAAAGTTCTCTATTCATTCTGTACACGAAACATGGTCACTGCAGGTAAATATATCATAATTTATTCTCTCGTTACGTAATCTTAAGTTCTGCCAATGTTGTACGAAATCTTATCAACAGATACCCCGACATTTCTGTAACAATAATTTAATAAAATTAATTTAATTCTTTCGTGTAATTTCTGTAACAATAATTTTATAAAATTAATTTAATTATTTCGTGTAATTTACAACAGCTGAACAAAGCCAATCAAAACAACAGTTCAGTATAAAATAATATATTAAAATCTGTAAAGAAATAAAATTACTAAATTAAAGAGATACAGTACAGATACACAATATCAAAACCTTCAGGACATCGTGAAAGAGAAGTCTAATTATGTGTAACAATGTAATTACCTTAATTAACCAGTTTCGCGGGTAAAACACAGGCACCAAAACACGCCTAGCTGAGGAACAGAGCTTGAAATTGCGATTTATTAAATGTATACTAGCCTCTAATTATCCAAGTACGTATACCTAACACCAATACAAACTAGTGTGGAAGAACATCAAAATTTTGTAAAAATGCTAATAAGGAGCAGGGCATCCAGACACTTTCGCATGGATTGAAGTGTTAACAAAATTAGTTTAGCTAACACACTGTTGGCATCGGTACCACCTCAGAAGTTTCCTCATCTCCATTTTGTTATAGCCGGTAGTTGATAATTCTAAAATACGAATTTGCCGTTGTCCCCGGTGCCAGAACCCTTACATCACACACCCCACCCCCTATAAAACCAGCGTTTTTCTTGTTCTATAATTCCTACTTTGGCCACCAGATCGCGCCACCTAAATGTCTACTACCACACGACTTCCCACATCCATCACTTTGATATCACAGCTAACAGGACTATCAAAACTTACGATTCTGAGGTCGTGCAGAATGACGCACCCTCGACAACAAATTTCATCGAAAACCGCCCAGTGATTCTCGATTCGAATCGACTCGACATTTGACGAACTA